AAAGAAGAAAAAAAAAAAAAAAAAGAAAAAAAAAGATCTGACCATTTTAAATGAACAGAACTAGCAGCCACCAGCCTAGGTTTTTAAAATATTATTGTTTCAATAAAGTTATGTCACATTGTGTAGGAAATAATTTGTCTTTGGTTTTTAATCTCGGGGGGGAAAAGCACTTTACGTTGACTTTTTGTTGTTGTTGTTGCGATGCTGGAGTAGGATAGCAGAGTGTAACAATCAAGCACTTTAACAAAGCACTATTTTAATTTGTGCCTCCTGTCGTGACCGTGATTTGTTACACGCCTGTAGCAAGTCACAACCTGTCCTGTGATAACTGTGATGGTAATCTTTTATGTTGTTCTCTGTTTCTACTGTAAAACTCAATTGTAAATAACTCTGTCAATGAGCGTTTCCTGACCTATTTCTGAGTACCTGCCAGGGCATGTAATGATCTGCATGCAGCAGGTCCAGGGACGTGCTGAGACACGGGACGCGGGAGCAGAGGCGCACAGGCGGGAAGAAGACCCCGAGCCGCTCGAGTCTGCTGCGTTTTGTTCCTTCCTATTGTAAAAAAAAAAAAAAAAAAAAAGCCGTTGGTTAGTCCTGAATGTAAATGTCTGTCCGTCCAAGCTGTACAGTACTTCTGTCTGTAATCCGTAATAGTGAATGCAGCATGTACGGACAAAAGCAATAAGCACATATATGTTTTAGGAACTATTATGGATTACGATGATAGCTTTGTTAGGTCTCTCCTTGGCACAAAACTGTACACGTGTTGGAGTTAACTCTGCTCTGCTCAGCCGACCCCATCCCCGGGCGGTGGGACGCAGCCCGGGGTACCCGCTCAGAAGTTGCCCTTGTGTCCCAGCAAGGCAAAACCCTGGGGAAGGCGCGAGTAAGACCTGAGCCACCACCTCACGAATTAGCCCGCCGACAGCGACAGAGACCTCGTGCCATGCAAAGAGTGATGCGGGAGGTACGCAAAATAAGTTCAAGGCACTTATGTGTGCAAATGATACTCTGCAGAGTATTTACGCAGGGCCAATTCCTGAGGTTCATTAGCTTTTACTCTGCCTTCACTCAGCCAAAACCACCGTTCCTCTGAGTGGGGTCTTTGCCTGGTGAAGGACTTTAGGATTTGGCCATAGTAAATACAAGTGTACTTAGAGGAACCGATGTATTGCTGAGATACTAGTTAAGATTGAGTCGTCACGAAAAAGTAAAGTAACTTTCCAGCAGATAAGCTTTAAATAATGATTTATTCTGTGGCTTTCTGAGGCCACAGAGCGGCAACAAGAAATCTTAAAGAGAACAGTCTTAATGTAATCTCTATGTTTCAGTGACCATTCATGTCTGCCATCAGCACAAATGTAAAAAGAAGAAAAAAAAATCAGGGAAAATTTTTTTGATAAAGTAAGTAATAGTGATTTCGAAGTTAAATATTTTTAGAGCTGATGCTTTCATGTGGAAAAAAGTCATATTTTACATATCGCAAAAGTGAACGTATTTAAATATAGCCATATAGTGTAGTATTTACCACACTCTCATCCAAACTGATGTATTTGGTTTATAGATGGCACTGACAAAAATGTATAGACCAACAATTCTATCATTTTTTTAACTGATAATCAACTGGTGCAACTCTCCTTGTAACCAAAGGCCCTCTGTCTGCCTTGTGTGATCATTCACGACACACACCTTATATCATCTATTTAGTCCTACCTTTAAAGTAGCATTTTATTGAGTCACTTTTGAAAGCCAAATTCAAAAGTATCATTAAAAATCTACCTTTTAAGTCTGAATAGCCAAAGTCCTATAGATTTCTTATAGAAAGCAAATAATTTAAAATTAAGCATATAATATGCTTGAAGAGCATTTCTTTCTTATTTGTGTATGAAGATGTAGCTCTCATTTTGTGCCCAGTTAAAAAGGAAGTATGTTTAATTTATTTTAATGAAATAAAGTCTGAATATGAAGTATGTATCTATATATGTGTGTGTGTGCATAATACACATATATATAATGTAAGCACTGGGAAATCTACTCTAACATAAAGCTATGGTAGACTAAATCTGTACTCATTACAAAAGGAAAGGCAGTGCTTTGAAAACATAATGCTCACCAAATCCTATAGTCACTAGAAAGACGATTTCAGTTTATAGTTTCTTTGATACATGTTTCCCAAAGCTTGGAACAGTTGGGGAAAATATGCAATATCTCTTGCATCGAGCTAAAGCGTGCAGTTTAACCATTGGTATTTGGCATTCAGGTCTGCGAATTTACTGTGCATCATGTATCAAGCAAGCTGAGAGTTTCACTTGCTGCTGCAGAAGACATCATATCTGAAAGGACGATGTGTGTGTGATGTCTGCGCTTGCTTGGATCTTACGCCATCAACATCATTTTTAATACATATATATATATATATATAAATACATATATAGAGAGAATATATATATGTGGAAGGAATGGGTGCAGTTTTCTTAACCAGGAGGCAAAGATCCTTTGAGTTTTAGCCTTGAACAGAGGAAAACAGCAGTCACATTGCAGTAGATTTCTCAGTGCCTTTTCTTAGAAACTTCACCTAAGCACACTTACAGAAAAAAAAAAAGAAAAAAAAAAAGAAACAAAACAGTCTCCTGTGAAATCCACATTTTTCTGAAAGGTTCAAGAGTCAATAAAGATAGAAGAAGGAAAAAAAAAAAAAAAGGAGGAAAAGAAAACCCGCGGAACGCACATTCCCTTCCTGAACATGCCGTGTGTCAAATGCCGGGGAATATCTGTCTGTGCAAGTCACGCAGAAACACATCTGAGGCGGTCGGTTTCTTTGGCAACTATGGCTGTGATAAACTGTAGCCTTTTCTTCCCTTGCAGCTAATAAGATACACATTTCTAAGGAAAACAGTATTCTCTTCTGTAAAATTGTAATGTATTGTTAATATTTGTACCTATTGTATATTTATGTCTTGACAGAATTATGACTGGTACAGTTTATAGTAAATAACAAGGGTATTTAAAACTCATCGCAAAGACAAGGTTTCTAAAGCCAAGTTCTCTCTCTGTCGGTAAGCTCCACATAACATGATCTCCAATAGTTTTTAATGCCTCATTTTAAAGCAAATAGTAGAATTACTGAATAAAGTAGCCAAGTGATGGAGACCGTGAGGCACCAATGCCCTCCTGTGCAGCTCAGTCGGGAGCATGATGGGGAGGTGGGCTTCCCCAGCGACTCCAAATTAGCTCCAACTTCTTCATGTTTGGTCAGTCACTTCTGCTTACAGTAACCAGACTGAACAACTGTTACCTTAGGTTGCTTTAGGATCACCCACTTGGGGAGAATATGGCTTTAAATAGTTCTTGAATAAAGTACAGATGTTCTAGTTACCTCTGTACCTCCTGTTTGCCATTGTGTTGGCTTTATAAGTATCTGATGTATGGAAAAGTCATGTGACTTTCATGCATTCCAGAGTAGTCTATTTTTCTGTTCAGATTTAAAAAAAAATTATATATATATAAAAATATAAATATATATCTGTATTTTTAGCAAATTTATAATAGGGCAATCAAGTCAGATTTCTTCTTTTTGTATTACAGAATAATATATTAGATGCTTTCTTGGTGTTCATTTACATAGCTGATCCCCTAACCTTTTTGTTGTTATTTTCTTTTGTTCTGAAAAACACCTGCAACATCCCTCCTGGAAGTGTGTCTGTAAAAGGTCACTGAGTTTGTCTGATGTTGTCATGTTTTCATATTTTCCTGTTTGTGGTACTTAAAAATAACCAGGGACTGGCTATTGATACTAAGATGTTCCTTCTAAGAAACACAGAGTGGGCCAGACTCTTGGTTATGGCAGTGTAAATGTCAGTGAATGCCACTGGCTTCAGTGTTAGCCACAGCCTGGACTTCAGTGTTTTTCCAGATTTACATCAATTAAGCTGATAGTATAAAGAAGAGATGGGATTGAAATCTGACTGTCCTAATAATTATGATGGATTTGGGATGAGCATCAAAATTCAGGCTTTTATTTTAAGGCAGGGGCCTGATGACTCTTGGGCAAAGCTCCCACCTTTGGGGGAGCTTTTCCTGGGTTAAAACAGAAGGGTCAAGACTTTCATTTCCCACTGGGTTTTAGAATTTCTATTTTCAGTTCCAACAACATCAGGAAATGAGAAAAAAATACGAGGGAATGAAAAACTTAAATGTACACATTCAGAAAGGGACTTGGATTTGGATTTGGTTATGGTAAAGTCCATCCATGTACCTGCTTAATGATCTTCCTTGCTCCTTTATAGCTGTACCGTCACATAAATTGAATAAAAAGCCACGAGGTTAATGTGCATCCTGAGGCTATCTCATGGCCTCTTGAAGTTTAGCATGACAGAGAGCTTCAGACCAGCTCTGTAGCTCTGCACAAACATTTCTGGTCAGTGACCATATTTTTTCCAAAGACGGAGTTTCTTTTGTTTGCTTGTGTGATTTTCTTATTTGCCCACCACACTAGCCAATAAATCTGAAACAGAATTAATTTGGGAAAACATGCATTTCAAAAAGTCCAGATACCACCTGAATGAATGGAACAACCAGCAGACACAGTTTTGCATAGGTGGTTATGCATCAGCAAGACCCATTTACACATGAAGGTATTAAAACTGGGTGGGATTTTTATTT